AATTTTTAAAAGTAAATACTTTAATGACCTCATAAATCCCAACATTTTCTAATATCCTGTACTTAAGGAAATTTAAAATTCGGAATATATTTTTTCTCTCCATAGACACTTTATAAGACCATTTAACAATTTATTTCCTCTTCGACTTACATCCTGATGTTATTATTATGAACATAAAATAAATGTTTATGTTAGGTATTTAACAATAACTTTGACCCTTTTAATTGGTAGCATGTTTTCCTTCTTTTTATGGTATCATGTTTTAAAAAATCAACTTCTTTATAATATAAGCCAAAATCACCCCAAATGGATATATCGGTTAAACCCTTTCCATGCTGCCACACGGATTGTCATTAAAATGTACAATAAAACTTTTTTTTTTGCCTTATTGTGTGTTCTTGTGTGTGTGTGTTTTTTTTTACAGGCAGCCAAAACTAATTAATATTAAAATAGCAGGCTCATAAAGTGATTTTGTTTTTGTTCAACGACAAGTACCTGTGTGTGTGTGTGTTTGTGTGCACTGCGTGCGGCCTAAAATTATGCAACGCGTTTTTTATGTTTAATAAAACAAACTCGGCCGGCGGCTAACTATTAATTAACATGTTAATTACAATTTTTCATTGGCATAAATGCGAAAATGCAATTTGTAAAATGTCGCCAATATTAATTTTATTCACTGGCATTTACAGTACATACATATATGTATATATGTATATAAACATGGCACAGAAGGAAGGTAGGGCAGGTGGGCTGACTCCTCTAATCGAAAAACTCGCTCAGGTGTATTATGCATGGGTGGGGGCAAAATATTGTGCAATGGCTGGAAAAAACCATTAATATTCTTATTTGCTTAGCCGATGATGGCAAAATTGTTAGGTGCATCGGCACCGATTTTCCGGGTATCCCTAACGCCATCTGATATATTTTGCTCCACATTTTGATTGGCAATCTAAAATGCGCCAGCATTGAGTTATATACATATATACATATATATATATATATATATATATATACTATATCGGTGGACGGTGGGGCACTAACCCACCTTTGTGTATGCACAAGCTTGTTAAGTTTTATTTAAATTCGAACTACAGTTTGCCGACCGCGAATCGGCCAGGAACTGAAGCTGGAACCGGATCCGGGATGAGGGGCAGATGGTCGTCCTCGCTCGCGCCTCGAGCGCCGTCGGTCCGCTGTGATTGTCAAAGGATGCGGCTAGGAAATAATTAAAAATTCCATTTAAATGCAGATTAGCTCCGCAAAATGCAAGAGTACAAAATTATATAGAAAATTCCACCTGATCTGAACCCACACACATTTACCATATACATCCATATGTATATATGCTTGAGTGTCGGCAGCTTTAATAATAAAATGTTGCCTAAAAATATGCAGATCGCGAGGGGACAAGCGGTTTTAGGAAAACGCAGCGAGATGGAAAACGCTTTTCCGTATGCATGCCCGGTCTCAGGTACCCAAACTTCAGGTGTGCCAATTATTGATGAGCGCTGTAATAAAATCAAAATAAGTTTCTATAACAATTGCATTAAATATTGAAGGCCGTTCTGTGTGCTGAGTGAGTGTGTTTTTTGGCGTTAGTTTTGCACTTTTCTAAGCTTTCTTATTTGCATTCAGCATATTTTATTAGATTAATGCAAAGGTGAGTGGAAAAAAAGCCCAAGTATTTCCGCATTTAAAGAGTATATATATTTCTTTTCGATGCATAAAAAATTCGAGGACTTCCCTGAACGAATCAACATATGCATAAAAAACCTCGAAATGGCAATCAAGTTTTTCTGCTGTGACCGCCTCATCTCATCTTTATTGGCAATTGCATTGTTTCGGTTACATTACTCATACGCTCCGTGGTCCTCGTGTTTTTATTCAGCCCCCGCCGATATGGCTTTTGTCAATCAGTGTAACGGCATTTAAATGTACAACATATATATGTACATATTCAGATATACTATGAAGTCCTACGTTTGCCGCATTTCATGCATTTTTATATGTCAAAAAAGAGAGGAAATAAAGTCAAAAAAATGGAATTGTACCATTGGGACACATGCACTGCGGGGTGACTGTAATGGTTACGGATCAGACAGCGGCACAAGCCATCATCGTCATCAATATTTTGTATTTTATTTTATTTTATTTTATGACATTTGCCCGCCTGCACTGCATCAGAACGAACAGGACCTGCATCAGAGTCCAGGACATGCCTGGCTGATTGCAGTACTGCAATTGTCAAAATGTAAATACGGCTCAAAAGTTAATAATCATGCCGATGGCTTGGCCATCTTAAATACAGAGCTATTTTTTAAGGACCTTCATTTGGGTGGGAATATTTTGTATATGATATCCAAAGATAGTGGGGAAATATTGAGAGTTTCTTGCTTTTTTTGATGGCTTTGGTTTATCATTTATGGTAAGGATCTGGAAAGGTTGGTTTATTAATTCATAATTTCCTATCTTCTCTCTTACCATTGCACTATATTTTCATTTATTACAAGAAATATGAAAATTTTAAATTTATTCATTGATTTCTTAACTATAGCCTTAGAATATACTATTATTTATTGCAGGGAACTTGAAAGATTTTAAGGATCTTCAAAGACCTTAAAAGTCTTGTAAGACCTTAAAATATTATTATTTTGTTTGATTTTCTAAAGCTTAAAACAGTAAAAATCTGTTTACTATTTCTTGTTAAACAAAGACTAGACTAACATTTAAAAAGAATATTTGAGACATTCGCAAATATCGGAAACTCCTATTTCCTGATATCCATTAAATCCCTCATCCATTAACCATTTACCATTTTACGACTCCTGCAATTTGGATTTTTGATTTGTTTTATGAGTCTGTGGATCTGTCTCTTGATTGTCTTCTTGTCCAGTTATTACTAACAAAAGCCTGCTGATGAAATCAAAATATGGGCGAAGTATTTTCATAACCAGGCAGCGATGGGCCAGGGGAACTTTACAGCTCGTTTTGAAGGTACGCAACGATGTCCTGCGGCGTCCTTTTGGGCCCTCCAATGAACATTTGAAACGAATTCGGTTCGTATTCCGTTCCTTCTTTTTTTTATATGTTTTATATTCTTCTTTTTTATTTTTTGCTTTTTCTGGTACAAATTTCATTTTTGGTATGTTTAGAACGGCCAGGGGCATATTTTATGTACAACTTCAACACTCCCAGGCTGCTGGGCTCCCAGGATATGCCAGGATATGTGTGTGTGTTCTGTTATCGCACTGCATTTATGTATGGCCGAATGGGTGAGTGTGTGTGTGTGTGTGTGGATGGATGATGCCTTCCACGTGGGTTACTTAATATACAAAGGCCTTTAATTTCGTCTAAAGCTAAATAAACTTTATACCCTTTGGTATCTGCCGCACATCTACACACACACACACACACACACACATCTGATGCGTATGTGTGGGTGTACACCTGCGGTCATGCCGCCACCAAAGGACCTTCTCTATGCCCGAGTATGTGTGTGTGTGCGTGTGTGTTTGATGTTTGGGCTGCGTTCTTTGGCGCTCTCTCTTGTTTTGACTGTGTGTCTGCTATTGTTGTTGCTGTTGTTGTTGCAATGTCCTTGGGCGCATATTTGCATGTTTTATTGTATCTGCTCGACTCTCCCAGTTTAGGCCACCCCTGTCCTTCAATCCCTTCCCCTCCCACCTCCCCCCCCCCCTATTCGTCAGGACTCAGTGCCTCGGGGGCAAAGCGCGCCCTCAGTACGCATGTACCTATGTTTTTAATTCTTTACATCGATATTTGGCCGCTGGCAAGTCAAAAACGCGAGCCGCTGCCAAAGGTTGATTGCGGCACCAAGGATGGGGGGGGGGGAGAGAGTGGGAGGTGTGGGGATTGTTGGAAAAGCGGACAGCGGCACGTTAGAGGCAATTTTCCTCAAAATATGCATGATATGTGTGCTACACCTTTTGTTATGCATTTGTTTTGATGTTGAAATGTTACCTTTGCCCGCGGCTATTCTCTACATTATTTGCGCTACTTAAAGGGGTCAGAAATTATACGAAAATTAATGGTTAAAAGGTTGGAAATGTATTAAATAAAACTTATTAGAGAAACTATAGTTTCAGTACAGAACATTTTTCGGTTTTTACTCACTCGCCTATATTCTTTTGGAATTGATCTTTATCCCTGGATATCCTTCTGCCTGGTCGAGGGCTAATTAAAAAGCGTTGCATACTCTAAGGAACCGCAGAAGAAGACCTTTCTTTGGCAGCTCCTTTCCTCCATCCACACATTCGCGCTAGTTTCCCATTACCGGGATGTCTTGCATTCGCAGTGCGATTTTTAATTTGCGTTATACGAGGAGTTTCCTTTTGCCTGGCCCGCGGCTCACATGTGAGCAGGGAGCAGGGAGGAAAAGGACACAGGAGCATGGGGGAAGGATAAAGAGATGGCAAGCGCAAGGAGCGGAGAAGAGCAGCGTAGCGTGACATCGCAGGAGCAGCAAATGTCACGCTTCACTCATTTCCGTCCCATGATGTCGACGTCGTCGTCGTCATCGCATCGTCATCATCATCGTCGTCGTCGTTGTCGCTGCCTGCTGATGAAGCTCAATGGTTAGTGGCAGTCAACCAGGACTTACCTTCATGTCGTCCTGCTGCCAGCCACCTTCCGGCTCCTGCCTGCCTCCTCCATTGGTAAAGAAAACCACATGACAATATTGGTAGGTTGGAAGGTGAGCGTCGGGGTTGCACTGGGGAAAATAATAGCTACAGATGGCACTATATTATACAAATCTCTGGTGATTATTTCTAAAGGATCCTGGTTTTACTCCTTTTCATTAAGCTTGATCTTGTCTCATTTAATATTTTTCCTCGGTGCAGGAAGCCGGTTGATGTGGCCTGATGGAAGTGGGTGGCAACCCCTCGTTCTCCATTCTGCTGCCACCATTCACCATTCTCCTGTTCTGTCCTCGTTCTCGTTCCATTCCTGGTTGTGGCTCGTTCTGGGTAGGCAACCTCTCAGCCGGAAGCACTTGAGAACTTGCAATGGCCGGCGGGCATTTGGTGCGGTTTCGTGCGTCGTTGCCCCTCATCGTCGTCGTCATCGTCATCCTTGTCGCCGAGTTCGCGAACTGAAAATTCCCTTCGTTTTCATTATGTTGCGGCCATGTTGTCCTTGCCTCGGCCTCGGCCTGGTCCCTCGGCCTGCTCCATGCTCCTTTCCCTGGCTCCTGGCGGCAGCTCCTGCTCCCTGCTCCTGCTTCTGCTGGTGATTCCGCTGCGGTTGCTCCTCCGTCATGGTTCTTTTCAGAGACCACGCCATCATTATTATGAACACCGTTATGCCTGCCAGCCATATATTCCAATTTGTTGTTGTTGCCACTGCCGCTGCCGCTGACTCGCTCTTATTCCACCATCGCCAGCGGTACTCGCCTTTGTTGTTGCTCCTCTTGGTGTTCTTATATGACCGCCAAGTCTTTCCCTTTCTCCGTCATATTCAGTACTTTCTTTTGGGGGCAATATATTGAGGGGTATATTGAGTCTAGGGATCGCAAGGATCAGCTAGATATTAGTTTTGAAATTGTTTCTTTCAGGAAAACATGTATTTTCTACGTAGTTAACAGAATATAATAGGAGTTCATGGAGACAATAATCCTAAATAGCTGAGAAATCGGGTAATAAATACCATTAAAGTTGTCTAAATCACTTAGACTTCTTATTTTAGTAAAATTTAAAATTTATATACTTAAGATTTTATTTCTCTATTCTAGGGTATTACCTAGCTGTTATTTTACTCCCTCTTAAGGTTATTTCACTTGCTCCTTTATTTTCGCTTATTTTGCAACATTCTGTAGCATTGCGTTGACAAAAGTCCGGATGCCTTCGCCTCGTGTGCTATTTATGAGTAATAAGAATAAGGATACCGGGACCACAGTTCACTTACCTGTTACGATTGCAATAAATAAATAATAAATTCTAGCTGCACTCTTATGCAAATAAATAGTTAGACCCCATCGACTAACTAACTGCCCCGCCGCCTGCTTGCCACAATAATAACAATAATCGTGCCACGCTTAGATACCACTCGCACACACACAGAGAGAGAGAGAGAGAGAGGGGGAAAAACGCTTTCAGCCAATTGAGGAGTTTAAGCATTGGGCCAAGTATGAAATTTGTTTGCATATCTACCGGCCGGCCCCCTCACCACTCCCTCATCCCACTAAAATGTTAAGTTGCCGCTGCTTATCTCTCTCTGGCTCTGGCGCTGCTTGCAACATGCGCCGGGGGCCGTTTTTACTTTTTGGTTTTTCGATACGACAGCCGCATCCCCGCATCCTTGCCGCCACCACCCTCTACTTAGGGGGAAGGACCAAAAGCTGCTGCTGCAGTTGGCCTCCTGGGCGTGTGTGGAGGCCAGGTGTGAGGGCGTGAGTCCTTTAATTTTTAACATAATTATTATGTTTTTTTATAGTTTGGAGAAGGAAATTGTGTAATTTAAACTTAGAACTTAAGAACTTAAAATATATATTTTTAAGACCTTGCTGGGTATTGTAATCTTAGTCAGAAGCTTGGAAAACAGTGAAGAAGTCACTTCCGACCCCATGAATCATAAATATTCTTGATCAGCATTGAAAGTCGAGTTGTCCTAGCCATGTTTGGAAGGAAAAAAATGTTGACCAAATTCTTTGAACATTTTATTAGGGGTTACATTGTTGAAATTGTCAAAAAGTTCAAATAAATTTTCATATGTTCAATTTAAAAATTTTAAGTGCAGGATTTTTAACCTTATAAATATCAGTGTAGGAACGCTTTCCAAATTGAAATTAATGCATTTTTGGCTTTGTCATGATCGATTTTAAATACGCTATGAGATTGAGTTTTTGGGCTACCAATATATATAAAATACAAACAATATACAAATATAAAATCCCTTTTTCTTACGCAAAGTAAAATTATTGTTGAAATAATTCCATTTTAGTTTATACATCGTTCCAAATATGCGCAAACTTTTCCCCATTAAGTTCGTGTCACGCTGCCACTTCTGGCATGTGTTAACTTGGCCATAAATACTTTTGGCCTCGCCTGGTGTTTGGCATTTGGTGTCTGCTGTTTGCTGCCTGCTGCCCGATGCCCAAGTGCTTCGATGCTTGGCTTGGGATTCCGGGATGCTGGAACTGCAGGAACTGCAGGGACTGCCCGTGCCATGGTGTTTCTTACCTCGTTCCTCGTTTTTGGCATCTGCTCTTTAGCCCTAAGCTGGGATTCAGTTGGTCGGTCTGGTCTCTCGTTCGCTCGGTTGTTGCTTTTATGAAATATTTGTGCTGCAACTTTATTTACAATTTTTTCGGTTATTTATTGTTGGCAATTTATGCTTTCGTTATGCATTTTTCGTTTCTTGTATTTGGTCAGTTCTTGCATTCTGATTTATTGGGAACGGGAGTGTGTGGTGTGTGCGCCGTGTGTGTTTTGTGGGCGTATGTCCAGCCGGAACCCTATTGAAATGAGAACACACACAGACTACACACAAGTTGAGAAAGAAATTTTTTGGCAAATGTTGCTAGAAATAGAAGTTCGACTAAAATTTCATATTTCTTTTAATTGCAGCATCATGCTGGCAAGGTTGCAATTAGTTGTTGCAGTTGAAAACCAGAGTCCAACTCTGAGGCGTAGGCATTAAAGGGGTTTCTAAAAAGTTAAGGTCATATAAAAACTATTATATATTAAATTCGTTATATTAATACATACTTAATTTAGGTAATGGTGTCGGTATCAAAAAGAAAGAAATGTATTCAAATATAGCACACTAAAATAATGACCAAATTAAATGCTATGTAAGGAGATAAGCCAATTCAAATGTATATGTACATATATGAGTTCTCTGAATTAAATAATTGTATAAAAATTCACTGTAACATTTATGTAAGCAACAGATAAGCTTTAAGCCCTGGGGTTTTCTTAGAACCTAACTAAATTCAATATTATTACTTGTTTTTGCTTGGAATATATTTTATTCATTCATCAGCTAATCTCTTAACGAATTTCTATAAAATGTATATAGTAGTCCTTAACCGTAAAAGTGCCAATATCGAGTGGGATATCGTGGTTTCTGATTGCCGCCTTGTCGCACCACTTCCCCAATCCACCCCATGTGGTGCATGACATTCGTATAGACCTCCGCAGAGTTACAGTATTGGTGTATTGTGCTCATAATTCCAAGCTGAACTATGCGGGTCATACCACCCAACGTTAAAGGGGCTGAGACTGGGCTCCCGGAGTCTCCTTTGCAGGATTTCGAATTGTAACTTGCCGCACAAATGTGAGATCTATCCACTTGGAGGTTAAATATTCGGGCACAATATGAACGATCAAATTGCTGTAAGGAGTGTGTCTTTAAAATATTGCTAGGGCGCCCGTTTTCGGTTAAACCCCAACCGGTGACGGTCAAGTGCCTGAGAGTACTCAAAGGATTGGAGTTAGTCAGCAGACAAATGGGTCTGATGAAGTCTAGAAAATACAAGTAATTGTATTTTGTAAATATTTTTTTTTTATTTTTTACTCACCTGTATACCGCACCGATCCGGCCAGTCTGAGCAGGGCGATGTCATCTCTGGTAAAATGTACATATCGAGAGTGTGGTATTTGCTGATCCACGGGCACCCGGAGAGCATTTGGCATGCAGCCTCGGGCAGAGCAATCGGTCCGTGAAGAGATGTCAAAATCACCTAGGAATACTTCCCTGTAATCGGAAATTTGGGATAGAATTATATCTAATATTTAATAGCTTAAAGAGTTCCCAGAATACTCACATAAATTGATATGTCAGACAATGGGCAGCAGTGAGTACAAAGCCTAAAAATAAACTTGTATTCATTTGTATTTCTTAATTTTGTTGATTTCAAAATCCTACGGTTTGTAATCAACGATCCGCCACAGGCTTTGTTTGAGGATAATACATATGCCATCCAAGGATTTCCAAACATATCGGCCACTCGTCCTCCAGCTATTCGAGGTGACGAACGTCGAGAGCTTGAAATCGAAATGCCACAGTTTGGCTCGAGGAATGTTGCTCCATTTGCCAGGATCACAAAAGGGAATAAAATGATTATAGATTCACCTAGTTTCATGTTGAAACTGAGACTAACTGAGACTCTGTATTGCGATTTCATTCACTTTTATAGTTTAAAGTAATGCTGATCGAAGAATTTAACAATCTTCAAATATAGATTACAAGTTTCTGAGGAAAATATAAGCAAAGAGGCGAGATAAGCATTTGCAATTGACTTGATTTTAGTTTACCGTAGCCACTATTTGTTAGTGTTCTTCTCTGATTAATTACATTAAAGTTTATTTCAATATTTTTTTGTTATTTCGAAATATATTCTCTTGGTTATTTTGAAGCCCATGGGCTCATAACCCCCTTTGAGAACGCTCCTGGTGGCTTGGTACCACCTCCTCCTGAGCACTTTTGAACGTATTTATTTTTCATTTTCAATATTCATTCTGTCTGTTCAATTTTCGGCAATTGTTTGTTACCAAACTCCGTTGCTGGCATTGTTCTTTCGGCCTGTTGTTTCGGCCAGGGACGACAGGCAGGCTGCAATCAAAATCAAGCCATTTGAAAGATATTTCCTCGAATTGAACATGACACATTTGTTCTGCCCGAGCTCCGCTTAATGAAGGATTCCAATTTTGCACTCAAATCCTTGCCGCAGCTGCCAAGTGCCAATGAGTCCCGAGTTAAATGGCAATCCCGATGGGAGTTGTGTAATTAAGGAGTCCGGAAATCGGAAATGATAATAAAGTATCTGTGCTTAAAATCTTTGCTTGATTGAACTGGATTGCAGATGTCGATGGAGATATGCAGAGCTGCAGAGATATTCGTATCTGTAAGTACGTTCGAGTGTAATTTGTGCATTGATTTTATGACTTTTATTCTATCCGCTGGCCACATAAATTCCGCTCTGGCTTTCTTCTTATTTTTATTTTTTTGTTTTTTGTTTGCTGTTGCTGTTGTTATTATTGTGATTTCCGATTCGACAGCCATCATATATCAATGTCGTTGCAATTGATAATGCTCGGTGAGCTGCAGTGTGCCATGCAAGGACAATAAAGTCGGGCATAAAAATCAAAAGCTGGCCGCTGGGCACACATTTGATCTGACATTTGTTGTTTCCTTGTCTTTTGTCTTATTTATGTTTATTTACTTAATGCCAAGTTATCGTATTTAAATCAAATATTTGACTAAAATATTATTTCTCATAATAAGAAAAATGTCGAGTATCCGCCTAAAGCGTTTCGCTTTCTCTCTCTCTCTTTCTCTGTGCGAGTGTGTGCAATTTGCGTATGTGAAAATTTAAATGGAAAATAATCAAGTTATCGCTCGCCGAAGTCTGTCAATCTGCGTTCGAAATGCCTCTATACGGATTTTTGCATATATATGTGTGTATACATGCCCTCTGACCCTCTGACCACCGCCCACCCAGGGCAACTGCAATCAAAATTGCAAATACAATAATATGAAAAGCACAATGAAATAAATTGAAATACCTCAAGCTATGTAAATGGGCCACAGCTCCAGCGACCGGCCAGCGATGTCCTGTCCACGCACAACATGACCACGAGCGGGAAAGGGAGTGAGAGTGGGAGTACAGAAAGGAGCAGGTTGGAGCAGGAGAAGGACCCCCTGGTCATACAGATATACCCTCATGCTTGCACACCCCAAACAAAAGGAGAAAAGGTTGGCAACCTCCTCTTGTGGCAGCCTCTTGTGACAGCCTCTTGTGGCTTCTTAGCCAAAGCAAGAGTTTAGGCCCTAATTCGATCAAATTTGTATCTATTAAAAATATTAAATATTAATGTTAATATCTGGGATAATAATGTGAAATAAAGTTCAATGTAGCCTTCTTAACTTACCTAAGAAGGAGCCTTAAAAGGACAAGAAGACTTGATTTAAATTACCTATAAAATATATTTTATATCCACTATTCGGACATAAGTATTTCTTAGGTAAGAAAGTACCAAAAGGATCTCAGATAAGTTTCTTAATTATTGTATATATCATTATGAAAATATGATTGCAATTTTCTTGCATAAATATATATTTATTAAAAGCAGTATTCCTCTTGATAAATGGGCCCTTGGATTTGTTTCTTAAATACTAGATATATTCTTAACTGAAGCTACACAGCTAAGCATACAGCTGTAGCCTAGAGTGGATATATAACAGAGTCGACATGATTTTTATTTAATAATGAATTTATTGACATCATTTTTAAAGTAGATTGTAGACTTGTCTTTCCTATATAAATATTCCCATCGTATTCCCAGTTGAACACCGATTTCTTTTAGGGTATTTCCATGTCAACATGGACCCTTTTTGGCTGGCCAGGTTCCTTTTTCTCTCCTTTATTTTTGGTTTGTTGCCTGATGGAGGTCTGAATGCTGCTGAATGTTGCTGTTGCTGTGTTGCTCCTGCTGTTGTTGGTGCGACGGCCTCGTAATCAGCATTTGTGGCGCTCGAGGTCATCCGCAAAGTCTGCAGGCGATGTCGGAGTCGCCGTAGCCGTCTTCGTTGTTGTTGCTGCCATTGCTGCTGCTGTTGTGGCACATGCAACACGGCAACAGCAAGAACAACGAGAGTTCCGTATGACGCCGCTTCATCTTCCTGTTTGTGGCCTGAAGCCAAGTTCTGGGTTGGCTGGAATATTATAATTACAAGCGAAACAGGCCCCAGAGCTCTGCTCTCCTCCATTTCGGTCCAGGCATCAGCTTTGGCTTTGGCTTGCTCTTGGACTGAAGCCGTAGTCGAAGCTGTATCTGTGCACTGAGCGAAAAGTAAACACGAACTAGAGTTATATTACAGAAAATAGATATAAAATTGGGCTTAAATCTTGATTGAATATCTAAAGATACAACTGAAAGGTTTGTTATTTATTTCGTAGATTTATATTTATAGTTAAGTGGTTTTTGAAAGGTTTGCGTTTTCCCTTTCTCTGTAGAGTCATATCTGTATCCGGAGCGTTAGCAGTCATGGCAACCTGGTGGAGGCAGAGCAGCCAAAGGGAGTTGAAGTGGGAGTGGGTGAGAATGGGGGTTCCCTGGGTTCCTGATTCCCAAATGAAGTCGAACCAGCGCCAAAGGTGTCCGCGCTGACGTTGTGACAGTTTCAGTTACCGTCTGTTTCGAGGAGGCAACATGCCTGAGAAGCGCTACACACTGGAGTAGGTGTGTGTGTGGGGGGAGTGTGTAAGCTGGTTGCATGTGTCTATGTCGTACAGCTGTTGCTACTGCCACAACTCGTTGACTGAGTGACTGGTTGACTGACTGACATGGCTAAAATACCGCAAATGAAGTGGTCTTAGCCCCAGCTCAATCTGGGGGAAGGAGGGAATTGGAACAGCTTCATTTCGACTTGAAATTCGTGTGAAAATTATTGAGATACATTTCCCCCAGCCATGAAAACGAAGAGTATTTTAGTAGAGTCTCTCTCCCCATAGCCCTTCTTCTACTGCTCCTCTAAGCGGCGGACATTGGCGATTATCTTGTCCACGACTGTGAAACAAATGAGCGTCGTAGTCGCACTGAGCCGGAGATAGTGCCCCAGGGACATTTGCCGCATTGTTGCTTCAAAGAAGATAGGTCTCTTCGGCTTCGGTATCGGTTTCGGTTTCGGCTCTCCGGTCTCTCTGCATCCGTATCTGTGGCATCTGTGGCATCATCGCTCTGTGTGTTCAAGGCAAAAAAGAGTTCCCACATTCCCTATATGTGAGAATATCGCCCTCAGTTCAATTGGCATCCATCGTTTGGGGTTTTCAGTTTTTGGTTTTCTGTTTTTTTTTTTGGTAGTGAGACCTTCGAGCCAAGTTTGCTTATTTGCGCTTTGGGAGGCTCCAGCCAAATTAATAAGCTACGGCTAATGGTCCAAACGAAATGCTAAACGGAAATGCCTTTGACTAATTAACATGTCCAATAAACTAGTAATTAATTTTATGGCTTATTAAGAGGTTTATTTTAAGGGGAATTTATTAATTTATTAAATGTTACTTCACTTTTTTATTTCTTATTATAGTTTATTACTTAATTCATATTCAATGGGGTTTTCTACTCTGTTTTCATGTGTTACTTAATTTATCTTTGAAGTATAATAATTTTAAGATACAATTGAGTTCCCAAACGAATGGGAAAAAATCCCTGGGAAATACCTTGATTTTCAGTTGCAATTAGAGTTTTTCTCCCCAACCCCCCTCCCTTCGTTTGGAAGCTTTTCTTTCTGCGCGCTGTTTGTGTGGGGGAGGTGGGGAAGGGGACTTCGGTCTTGTCAGGCCAGTGGCCAGCGGCCAGATTTCATATTCGGATAGTGAAAGAGGAGAGTTGAGAATAAGAAATAGCCCGCCGGGCATCCGCAAGATACTCTACACCCCCTCCTCTCACTTCATAGATACTCCCCGCATTGTTTGTGTTGTGTTTACGTTGTAAATGGCAGTTGCAATGGCCCCCTCGTCTGAGCCTCGAACACGTTCGATGTTGGCTGCCAGAGTTTTGGGCCAAAAGCCGAGAAGTACGAGTGATTTACGAGCATCTTTAGCGGCTCACAAAAATATTTTCAAATTACATAAATTGTGCCAGAATTTGAGTTCCTCCCCCAGGTATTAAGTCCACGGATTAGGCGGGCCGGGGGCCAGTGACATTTATTTGATGTCAGGAGATACGAAGAGATATGGAAAGGGAGGTGCGGCAGGTGGATAAAGAATAACTATCAATCCATCTATTTTTGCACTCTGCCCGGCCTCATTCATTCCTTTGACAATGGAATTTCAATTTGCGCCAAGCGTTGGCAATGTTTTTCCAACACGCGCTCGCCGGCAATTTAAATTTATGCATGAACATTTTCTAATACCACTTAGAATAACAGAAATAATTTATTATTTTTAACACTTTACAATTTCGTTGCTGCTCGTGGTTGTCTGTGCGAGTGTGTGTG